TTGCTAAATTTTACCTTTTATTATTTAGATAATTTGTAAAATCTCTTAGATTAACATTTTATAAATATTATTAAAATGCATTATTTTCTTAATATTAAAAAATAAATTATGTACTTTTATAGGTTATTGAGTTATAAAATTTAATAATATATTATTATATAATATTGTAATTAACTTTATTAGGATAATCATTTAAAAAATTATAATTATATTAATTATTGAATAGTTAATTTGTATATAAAAAAAAATATTAGCAAATATAAAGAGATATATTAATAATTTCTTTGATCAATTCAAAAATGATGATTAATAATATATATAAACTTCTTTATAAATAAATTAATATCTTTTCAATAGTATATTATATAAATATTAAAAAATTAAAGAAACTAAATTGCTTAATAAATCTATTAAATATAAAATTTAATATTCTTATTTATATGAATAAAAATCTAAAATTATATTAAATTATATTTATAAATAATATATATTAAATTAAATTTATTTTCTAATTATATTTTTTATTAGAATTTTATTATTAAAGAATTTGTGATATTAAAATAAATATTTAATTGAAAATTTGAAAAAGTTGAATTAATAAAACTAAAATATTTTAATGTTACAGTAGTAGTATTTTTTCATATTAAATATAATTTATAAATATAATTAAAAAAATATATTTTTAAAATATAAACAAATAAACATTTAAAATATATAAAAAAATCTATTATAAATAAAAAAAAATATAATATAAATTTGTAATTAATATAAAATTATTATGTAATACTCTTATAAATATTTAAATTAATCTATAATAATAAAATAATATAATTGAAAATTTATTTTTATATTAAGTTTATTAAATATAATTTACAAAGTATATATATATATTTTTTTTTAAAATATTTTTTACAAAATTAAAGTATTATATTGTATCTATATTGATTACTTTTTTTCTGCTAATTTATTATTATAAGTTTATATTAATATTTAGCTTTACCTAATTATTAGAATACATTTTCTATAATATTATATTTATAATCATAATATAAAATATTAAAGTTATAATAAATTATATTTTAAGAATTATTTATTATTAAAAATTAATTATTCTATTTTATAATATTGCAAATATTAAATAAAAATTTATTATTCAATAAAAATTTAATATAAAATTCTATAAAAATTCTAAATTCAAAATATATGTAAAATATATATTTTATAATTATTAATAGATAAAAATAAATTCTAATGTAATTAAAAGATATTTAAAAAATGTTTTGGTTAAATTGCAATGCTATAATACTTCTTAAAATTTTTATAGCTATATTTTAACCTATTTAATTTAAATCTATTTAACTTAATTAATTATTAATTTAATAGATATTATATTAAAGATAATCTTTATAATTACTTTTAAATTTTAATTGATTTGCAATTTAATTACATTATAAGTAAATTTAATTGTATCGAAATTGCAATTCAATTACATTATTTTTAATTACAATACTCATCTTTATATTATAAGAAATAAATATTACCAGAAAGTCTTAATAAACTATTTGATAATACTGTTATATTATTAAATATTTAATTATATTATTGAATAGAAGAATTAAATAAAATCTTTGTTTATATTTAAAAATATAACCGATTTTATTATATTATCAAACAATTAAATTTACACTTTAACCTTAAACTTAAATATCATAATAGTTGAAAATATATAAAATCAATCAAGTAAAATTTATGATTATTTATTTTCTAAATATTATAATCATCACTTTATTATGTTTACTATTAGATATTATTTTTAGATTAATTTTTACATATAATATAATACTTACTTATTATAAATCAGCTTTTATTGACTACTTATTTAAAATTTAATTAGTTTTAGATTAGATTAAATACAATTTTACTTATAGTATTATCAAGAAACTTCAATGATAAAACAATTTTATACTTATATTTTAAAAGTTACTATTACACAGAAGAAGACATAGATAATGATGATCTAAAGGATGATATTGATTCCTAAGAAATCATATATATCATCTATGTTATCTATAACATATATTTCTTTTATACAATATATTTTTTTTATTTATTTTATTTTATTTTTCTCATATATTTATTATATTTTATTTATTTTATATATTTTATTTATTATATTTATTTCTTTTATATTTTTGATAACTTTATATTTTTTATTTTATATAAATAGAAGACAATTTCTTTTAACTTAACGGTGTGTCTGACTCATAATTTTATTAAATAGTTTAGTTTAATTTCCTTAATATAATCGTATAGTACAGAGTGCCGACTGAGGTAGTACTCCATTATTATAGTTATTAAATAAACTGTTAATTTACCGACACTCTTCTAAATCTATTATCAAATTAAACCTTTTGCTTACCACTTATAAATATTACTTTGTTTATTACTCATAAGTATATTAAAGAACTGACCATGATACTTGGTGCCTTCTGCCAGAAACGTTTTTAAAATTTGTTTAAATCATTTATGTGATAAACATTATTTGTTGAATTAAGGCATAATAGATTGCATATCACTTTAAATCGAAATAATATAGTTGCGCAGCACTATGATAGATCTTGCTATTTTGTTATTCTCCTAAACCTATTACTTTTGAGCATTTTCAACACTTTTGGAATTGGTATACTACTGAATATTCTGCAACAACATTTACCAGATATACTCATCAATATATCGAAGAATTAAATTATATCTACCTTTATATTAGATTATCTGACGCAGTAGATCAAGCAATATTAAATCTTATTTTTAGTATTCGATATAATACTAGGTTTGGAGAATCACCCATTACAGTTAGACAAAATATTTATAATACATTTATATTAACTTGTGGAATTGCATTAAATCCTTTATATCAGTTATACCAAATTTCTGAGACAACTTCTGTATCACCTTCTGAAACAACTAAAATAACCAAAAAGTCTAATTCAACAGTTTTAAGCAATAATATCAACAATAACCTACATACAAACAGTTTATTATATATAGATAAAGAATTAAATTTAGAAATTTATTTGAAAAAATAGCTGTAAACCAAACTGACATTCAAACATTAACCGCTGCTTTACAAAACATTGCTGAAATTCTAAATTCAAATATTCCACCCAATGCTAATGCTAAAAATGGAATTTTTAATCTGATCAATTAGTTACAAACCAATACTCAAATTATGAATGCTAATCTACCACAAAGTGAATCTCGTATTGCTGACCTTTCCTTCCTTATTTTTATGATAAAAATCAAGATCTGATTAGCTAGATAGAAGATTTTACACGTGCTTACAATGCAAACAGAATCAATGATAATAAGAAGCTTGAAGTTATACCTGCATATTTGAAAAATTCAGCTTCAACATAGTAGACTACAACTAAGCACTAATAAATGGTCATATTAATTATATTATTGTATAGACTGATAATAACAATGATACAGATTTCACTGTAATCTTTCTAACTACCTTCAGATCTCAAATATTGGTAGAAATTTGGACAATTGAACTAGAGAGGAAAAGGCAGCAATATGGTGAAATAGTTGATAACAATGCTAATGCTTTACTCAAATTATACTACAGAGTTGAAACACTAGCCTTTCAGTATTCTGACACTTACAAAGTCAGAAAACTTGTTTCTGGACTTTTGCTTGAACTTCATATTGTTATAGAAAAATATTGATCAAAAGATCATGTGACACACGTAACTAAAAGGCATGTTGACTGCGTCATATTAGATGACGAAGATAGTGAAAATGAGAGAAATGAATTAAATGAAGGTTACGTGAAAAACCCAGAAGTCACCAGAAAATTCTATCATATTATTAATTATTTTATATTATTAATCACTATTAATTATTTATAATCAATTAGTATTTTATTTATTTATATTAGCAAATTTAGTATAAATAGGATAGCTTTAGGACTTGGTTAGGAAGAACATGATTAGATAGCAGTAGACAACTATAACAAAATAATTTTATAAACATTTAGAATTCAATTAGTTTTATCACCAACAAGATAAATACTAATAATAGTTATATGCTAACAAATATAATTATATCAAATTCTTTATTCTTTAATAAAATCCTCAAAGTTTATTCTAAATATACATTATCATTTGAAGTAATAATTATTTATAAACCCTTCAGAACTCTTTCTAAAGTATTGAATAAAGTTAAATCCCTTTGTTAATCTTACGTTAATACCAATTTTCAGTCATTAGTATCATAAGATAACAATTTGGTACGGGTTGGGTGGAATAAAAACCAATCTGACAAATTAAATATATGCGAAGAATACTTAGATAATTAACAGTAGCTGTAGGACCTATTCTCCTCTAACTTCAGCTACGAGTTGCTGAGATTCAATTTCAGTATAAATCATTAGAGAACGAAGAAGCTATTTCAATCAATCATCTTAAACGTTTACAAAGCAACATCAACGATCTAAAAAATTTTATTGAATTTCATAAGATTAAGGCCACGTGGAACGAATTAGTATTTAGTAATGACTACTTTGACAATGAATCTCAATAAATCTGGAGGAATCTAGCACTGATCATATCACTGAGAAACAATACCTACTAACCGTCTGACAACATATAGCTGCTTATAAGGAACTTGAGGATCATAAAATCTCATTTATTATCCATTTAGATCAATCCTGCTTACAGTGTCACCCAAGCTACGAAACTCAATCTGGAAAACTACCGTCTTTTGATAATTTTTAGTTTTTGTGGATTGTACCTAAATATAACGCTATATCATACATTACCTTTACTGTAGCATATTTTATAAGGACCCAAGAGAGTGAGGCTAGCTTTTTGGAAAGAGACCACTTATTGAAATATTTGTTGAGAAAAATTGTCGCTACAATTAGATATAGGAACAACATACTAAAAGAATCCTTTGATAGCATTGCTGATAAATTATATCAAATTTGGGTAAAAATGAAACAGTTTCAATTGTGGGAAATTGAAAGTGTTAGCAGTATTGACTCAATTATAAATAGCAATTGTAGTAATATCTCAGAAAATACAAAATGATACTATCATAGCACCTTTTCAGGAAAGTAATGAAAGCTCCCTAGGGATGACACTTCTAGTGACAACGTATAGACCACTATCAGGAACTACCATACCTATACCTCAATCATCATCTAACATACCATCTTATATACAACTACGACAACCATACCTAGGAGATAGGAGGTAATATGACGAAGAAGAAAATGACACATATACCTCTGATTATGAACAGAATATCCTATTTGGATATGTCAATGATGATGACGAAACATTACAGTGAACGTCTTTCTTTGATAATGCAAATGAACTAGAGAGAGGAGGAACCTCAAGTAGAATACCTCGAAGAGTTACATTTAATACCAGTAATGATAGAAGGTCTCTATCTCCTGTTAGGGTAGAAAATGTTCAACAATTAGTAGCCTTAACATTATCCAATAATCAATCGTCAAGACCATCAAATTTGAGGGTAACAACTCCATCAGTAGGAAATACAAATAGTAGATCATCATTGGAAAATCCCTACAATTTTTCTCAAGCAACTCAATATAGTCATATATTTAATCCCTTGACACCACTTGATCCTCTTTGAAATAGCAACCCATCTACAACCTCCAGTTTCACAACTGCAAATTGGCAACCAGTAAATAACCGTTGACTTAAAAGTAACTTAAGTAATAGAGGAAATAATATAATGGGACATCAAAATGTAACTACCAAAAGAACTCTACAATCAACAACAATAGCCTAACCATATAATATGCAACCACTATCAAACTTCTGGGAGGTAATTCTCAATCAACTAGTACAACAATTTCTCAGCTAGTACCTAGCAGTCAACCGTCAAATAATATAAACACCTCTCAGCCAATATTTACATCTTAACTAGCTATAGTACCAGTAGGAGGAAACAATGACAATGCTTACCTCCAAGTCATACAAGGGCTAGTAGGATGGCTTCAAGGACAATAAACGAGAGAACAATGATTAGTATATTTGCCAACATTTAGAGGGAGAAATCAGGATCCAGTGGAGTGGTTTAAGGCTTTCAAACGAGCTTGTAAAGCAAATCGTATCAATACCACTCAAATTGTTGAAATAGTCCCCAGTTATTTAACAAGAATAGCACTGACATAGTTTTAACGATAATATGTTACCAATTGGAATAGTAGGATCAATCCTAGCACTTCCTTTATATCATTATTTGAACAACATTTCTGCAATACATTTCGACAAAATTAATGGAAGCATTAGCTTAGGTATAGGACACAGAAACCAGGTGAAACGATTGAGAAATATGTGGTAGTAATAGGAGAATTATGGAAGTGAGTCGACCCATAGTATAGGCGAGTTGAGATGGATAGAGTTGCTGAATTTATTGAAGGGCTGCGACCAGAATTTATGGTACTGGTGCAAACAGCAATGTCAACAACAGTAGATCAAGCAATCGAAAAGGCCAGAGCAGTAGAATCTGCATATTCCATTGAAATGGAATTATCTGCCTATTCATTAATGCCTAATTACATACAATTATTACAAGAAGGAATGGTACCAGCTCGCACAAATATAACAATGCAACCTACATATATTACACAGTAACCAGATATTGAGGACACTATTAATCGCAAACTGAATGAAAGGTTACGGCAAACATTGGGCAACAACAACAACAGCAGTAGCAACAGCCACAACAACAACCACGCAAATGTTTTAATTATAGAAAATTTGGACACTTGTTCAGAGATTGTAGAAGTAATCAACGTATGAATAATGACCAATCAAATATTGAATGCTTTAACTGTGAAAAGTGTGGCTATTTCGCCAGAGATTGCAGGAGTACAAACAATAATAGAAGTCAAAACTTTCAAAATCATAATAATAACAATAGAAATCGTAATCGCAGTAATAGCAGGAATAGGAATTATAGAAATAATAATAAAAATAATAACTACAATAAGAACAGTAATAATAATAATAATAATTAACAGCATTTAAACTAGAAGTCGCACCTCTTAAGGGTGAGTATGCGAACAAACCAAAGCCCCTAAAAGCGAAAGAAGAAAAAGAAGCAAGAGAGAATAGTCAAGGTGAAGCAAAAACAAAAGCAAGTTTAATAGAAGTACCTTATATATGTAGAGGAATGAATTCGAAAATGCGATTTGGAGGACCATATGAAAATAAATATGATCACTCTAATTGTGAAGAATATGACCTTCATAGTCATATTGTATGCACAAATTGTAATAAGATCGCTAAAGAAATAGCAGCGCAATGTGAATGTAAGGAAGTAAAATGGAAGGATCCACTAATTGATGAAAGGATTTTCAGTAAAAATCAGCCAATTAAACCAGTAAATCTCTAACAACAAGAAGAAGTCACTGTTAAAAAGAAGCTGAAGTATGTGTTAGGGATCTTATATGATGACAAAGGAATCTATCTTTCAAAATGAATTGAAAATGTATAACTTATGGCAAACAGTCAGTGGGAAAGTTGAACTAGGAGAATCATCGGTAAGGACTATGATTCGAGAAATTGATGAAAAAACTGGAATACAATTAGATGAAAATCACTTGAAATACATTTTAAATGATCCTACATATAATTGTGACGTATACAAAGTAAAGCTAAATAAAGAAATACCTCAACATACTGAACCTACCAAACATAGCGATTGGCAACATTTTGAGTTTGATGAATATTTACAAATGGCTGGACTAAATGAACTAATACCAACGCATAATAAATATGGAGAACTTTTCATATCTAAATTAAAGGAACACATTATTACTAGTAATACAGCATGTGATGAATCTATCAAGGATGCATTGTTTATTGAAGCCCAAGTGGAAGAATACCCTGTAAATGCTCTAATAGATACTGGATCGGTAGGAAGTATCATTACTCAGTGGTATCTTAAGCAAATCAATAAGGAAATTAATGAACTGCAAAAACAAAAATCATGGGAGTGGATGGAAAAACTATGATGCCTTTAGGAATAATTAAGGGAGTTACAGTAGAAGTTAATGGAATAACTGTTAATGAAGATATGCTAGTAACTAATGCTATGGGATATAATATTATCTTAGAAAACACCTGGTTGCAAAAGGTTCGTGCAATCATTGACTATGATACTAGCATTCTAGTCGTATAACAAGGAGATCAAACTTCTATGACGCCTATAACTTGCATGCAAGATATACATCCAGAAAGATTTACACCAATCAAGCCTAAAATGGGCTCGCACATTCCCGTCTTGAAGTCACGTGGTAAAATAACAGTGGATGAATTAGAATTTGAAGAGGAGGAAGATATCGATATTCAACAATGTTTTGCCATTGTTTTCAAAGAAGAAAAGGAGGTAATCCAAATAAATGGAAAGGAATATCCTGAAATATACTTACAATAAATTGAATATGAAATGGATGTATAACAAAATAGAAATTGGACAGGATCGACTACATGTTGGTGTTTGAAAAATTTAAGAAATGAAGGCAATGTGATGACTGTAGAGAAATTGTAAGAACGGTACAAACTTATCAATACTATAAGAATAGTATGGATCTACAAGCTGCCTATAAAGTTCAGATTGAAGAGAATGATATTTGAATAGAAATTGGTAATGATTTAGGAAAATATACAACCTGTGAAAATTAACAGATGCTTTTTTAAAACAACTAGAAGTATTTCTTGAGAAAAACCTTAATAGTTTTGCGACCACAACACAGGAATTAACACATTCAGAGCAACATAAACATTGTATATTTACCAAAGATGTACCACCAGTTGCACTAAAACCATATTGAACGTCAGTAAAAGATGATCAGTATATTCAACAGGAAATTCAAAATATGTTAGATCAAGGGATTATACGACCTTCTCAAAGTCAATGGAGCTCACCTGTAGTTCTTGTAAGGAAAAAGATGGAAAAATGAGATTCTGCATAGACTATAAGAAATTGAATGATGTAACGATAAAGGACCGATATCTCTTACTAAGGATTGATGAATTATAGAATCCTTGGGAGGAGCAACATGGTATACTACCTTAAATTTAGCTTTAGGATACTGGCAGTTTAAGGTCAGGGAACAGGACAAACCCAAAACAGCATTTATTACAAAACATGAGTTATATGAATTCAATGTTCAATTTTTGGGACATATAATATCAGGACAAGGAATAAACCTGATCCAGCAAAAATTGAAAAGATCATCAACCTTAACGCTTCATTCAATGTTAAACAGTTACGAACTGTATTAGGATTATTCTCTTATTACTGATGTTTTGTTAAAAATTATTCTAAATTAGTAGTCCCATTGAACGATTTGCAAAAAAAAGATGTGTCTTACAATTGGACAAAACAACATCAAGAGATTTTTGAAATACTTAAGGAAAAATTGATGACTGCGTCAATCTTATCCTATCCTGATTTCAATCAATCTTTTATATTAAGTACTGATGCAAGTACTACAGGATTAGGTGCAGTACTTTCACAAAAGAACAATTAAGGAAGGGAACATCCTATTTGGTATACAAGCAGAACATTGAGCCCAGCTGAAAAAAACTACCATATTACTGAACAAGAGGCTTTAGCAGTAGTATGGACAGTTAAATATTTTAGGAGGTACTTAGAGAATAATATATTTATTATATATACTGATCACTCTGCATTACAGTAGTTGTTAAATCAACCTACTAAAGAAAAGGATAGTAAAAGGATTATCCGTTGGAAGATTCTACTATAAAAATTCCAATTTTAAGTAAAATATCGCAAATAAAAGGCAAACGCAAATGCTGATACTCTCTCAAGGATTGACGAATTACAGGCACTAAACACATCATAAACCTTAACATCAATAATAGATCATAGATAAGCAACAATATCAAAACATAATTCAATACCTTGCCAACTTCACTTATCCAGAAAATTGCGATACTTCTTAACAAAAACAAAATTCAACAATTATCAACCCACTATATTGTTAAAAACTCACAATTATACAAACCAACCAAGGAAGGATTAAAAAGAGTGATTACACAAGAATAAGTAGAAGTACTCTTATTTAATTTACACAAAGATATGTCAGGAGTCTATCTAGGAATTGAAGCGGTATACAATAAGCTAAAGAATGATATTACTGGCTACAAATGTTTGAGGATATTAGAGAATATGTGAAAAATTGTGATAACTGCCAACAAAGAGGACCAAGTATCAGAAAAGAATCATTACATTCTATTTTAGTTAAAGAACCTTTTCATCGAGTAGGATTAGATATAAAAGGTCCATTACCTATTATAAAAACAGGGAATAGGTACATAATAGTTGCAATAGACTACTTTACAAAATGGCCAGAAGCTAAAGCCATTAAGGATATCAAGGCTGATATGGTAGCAAAATTTCTATATGAAGAAGTGATATGCCGACATGGTACACCTGAGAAAATACTCACAGATCGAAAAACATCATTTATAAATCAGGTAATAGCACAATTATGTCAAAAGTTTCAAACGAAATATTGATTGACATCACCATACTGACCTCAAATAAATGGAATGGTAGAAAGATTTAATCGAACTATAGGAGAGTGTTTAGCC